GGGGAGACAGGGCCAGTGTCATAGCAGGGGAGACAGGGCCAGTGTCATAGCAGGGGAAGGTTTGTATGAGCTTTAGTGGTGTTAGCCTCCCACCTGGGTTTTTGTAAATAAAGCTTTATTGGACAGAAAGTGTGTGAGTACTTTCATGCTGCTGAGGCCAAGCTGGTCACTGTGACAGATGAGACTGTGACAGAAAGGCCTCTGTGTTAATGATGACCTTTGCAGACAGTTTGCCAATTCCTACCGTAATTGACTTCCTCTAAGTGGTCCGAGGGGGGCCCAGATGGAACTGGTGGACATAACAAACAGTGAGAGGTGAGCAGACTGGGGTAGGGGCCCACGGTGGCGTGTCACTGCTAAAGTGTTGTTGATGAAGGCTGTCCCATTGCCCACTCCCCTGCGGACACTGCTTTCACAAAGTCACCGGGAGCAATGCTGCCCGTTCCCACCCAAGCTCCCTCTGCTAAAGCATTATGTCCTGGGCCTGCCATCAGAGTTGTGGTGGTGGTGGTGGTGGAGGTGGTGGTGGTGGTGGAGGTGGTGGAGGTGGTGGTGGATGTGGTGATGGTGGTGGCAGTGGAGGTGGAGGTGGTGGCGGCGGCGGCGGTGTGGCATCACACGTCTTCGTGGGGAGGAAACCCCAGGCGGCCCCTGCGTCCACCCGAGAGCAGTGGCTGTGGCCGGTTAGCGCTGTGACAGCTGTCACTCCCTTACCTGCAGGATGTCTTTCTGGTCAGCCTTGAGCTGGTGCAGTGACTGGATGACGGGGTGACTAAGAATGGGTGTTTGAAACTGCCAAGTGCTGGGAAGACACAAAGCCCGTGACTGTGGGTTCCTTCCCCACAGCTGCGTTTTCCCCCACTGACAGAACAGGGCGCATGCCTGGTCACCCCATGGATCGCGTGCGCCGTTGAGACACTGGATGACAAGGCTGTTTGGTTTCCTTTCCAGTTTATTGTTTGTGCTCCACACTCCAGAGGTGGAAGGTGTTGGGATGTACCTATGGCTGGTCCTTTCTGACCTTGGTGTGTCCGTGAGCAATGCGTCTCGTAATTGGAGCCCCTGGGCCAGCGCTATCCCCTGGGGGCTTGTTAGAAACACAGAGCCTCAGACTCCACCCAGACCTGAGGAGCCCTACGGAACAAACAGTCTCCTAATGGAAAGGTTAGCAGTTTGAATCCACCTGGGGGAAGATGGGCAGTGTCCTTCTGTGAACCCTCGGAAGGTTCTAGAGGGTGGTTTCTGTGCGTGGAGACCGACTACGGCAGTGAGCTGGGACAGACCCACTAGATCAGTGACAGGTGGTGGCCTCCACTGTAGCCAGCCCTCCAGCTGATGGGAGACCTAAATCCTAGCAGACAGAGCTGGACCTCACCTGGGAAGGGCTGGACAGACATCCCCTGGAGTGGGTGTCACATCTCCTCGTTCCAGCATGGACTTGTGTGTTGGTGTCGAGCCCAGGACACCGTGACGATCCTGGGTGGTCAGCACACCCTGTCCCTGCCTGCCTGGCACAGGAAGTGGGGACCCCTCACCAGCGTCTGTCCTCCACTGCCTTCAGGGTGAGCAGATGAAAGCGATTCATCACGGGCTGCTTTTCCCTGTGACGGGGCAGTGAGCCTGAGGCTGGAAAGGCTTCGCTTTGCTAAGAACCACCCCCCTCCACTCCTCCGCCGTCCTTGACAAGCACAGTTTAAGCAGACTTGATTTCTTTCGGCTTTTCTCCTGGAAAATGAGCCCTGCGTGTGTGAGCGCCACGCCAAGCTTGTGGGGACTGAGAAGTCCGCTTTGAGGATTAAGCAGGTGTGGCAGGGCGGAACTCCCTCATCATGCCTGCCTGCCTTCCGTTCCTCAAAGGGGATCCTTTGTAACAGAGAGAAGGGACCCTCTTCGTGTGGAGACATAGCAGGGGGAGACAGGGCCA